AAGACCCCAAACGAAAGCTGCTCAATTTTTTCAGTGACAGTGACAAACCCCTATAAAACTTGATAATTTCTTATCAAGTACTGGACTGGCTGTGTACAGACTGGACTCACTGTTGCTAGACACGCTGCCCCTGAGCTGAGATGTTGTAGAACCCTTCGTCCATTAAAATGACTTTATAGCATGGAAAATGCTCACATTTAAATGTAATATTAAATTTGAGAAATAGGATGCAAATTTGTATATACAACATAATTACAGCAAAGCAAAAAAAAAAAAGGCACAAAAGGGTAGTATGCCAAAAAAAGTGTCTATCTCTTGGTCTGACAATGGATAATTTTCTCACCACTTTTATATAGGTAAATAAAATTCCTATTGTGAGCATGTGTTATTGTTATATATTAAAAAATTTTGAAACAAAGTAGCTTCTTAATCCTGCCCAAATTCAGCTCCATATTGCTCATGGCTTTCTGCCTTGATTTACCCACGCTGGGTTCACAAATTTGCCCCCTCCCCTGGACTGTGCAGGGCTCCAAGTCAAGGACCTAGCCTTCCTTGTCTCTGTGTGCCTTCCCAAGTGCTCAACCCCTAACAGACATGCAATATGGTAGCCAATGACAGGAGACAATGTGATGGGTAAGGCTATTTCTATGGCCAACAAGATACATTCTTGTCAGCAGATTTAGAAAGTGCAATGAAAGCATTTGTAGTCCTCACGTCCTTACATTGACCTCTGAGAATGAGAAGAGAGGCAATGCTGATGAGAAAAAGCGACAAGAGAGCTCAGTGTTGGGGGTGACTGGTGACAGAGGTGAGCATGCAGGTGGGCTTCCACATCAACGTGACATTGAGGTGTTTGCGGCTGCTGGGCACCAAGCTCAAACATCACAACTTTGAAAAGGCATCAAAGAAATGGCATCATGAAAATGAATTTATGACTGTCTAGAATAGGGGAGATATCTACTTTCTAATGCTGAAATATAAAGTCATCTACACAAGACAATAGAGGGATGCTCATTTTATCACTGTACAAATTTCATAATTCATTCAATAAAATAAGTAACAATTTACAGCACGTCCAACTGTTAGAAGCATAGTAATAAAGTAAAAATAATAAACACTTTGCATTTCTAGATACTTTTTACTATCACCCAACAACTTTATGAAACAGGTAAGACACCCTCCCCCTTTCCTAGATGAGAAGACATCTAATGGTCAAGCGCCCTGCCCCGACGGGCCCTCTGCTTGTCATGGCCAGCTGCCCCTGCCTCTGCCTGAACACACTGGGACATGCTATCCCTCCAGGATCTCTAGAAGCCAGGTCCCAGGGACTCTGTGCCTCACTCACTCATGCTTGTGTGAAAACGGCAGAGAGACTCTTCTGGAGAATGGGAAGTGTACGGTGAGCAGGAGAATCTACAAGAGTGTTCTTTAAAGTTCGTAATTCCAACCAGGTGCAGTGGCTCTTGCCAATAATCCCAGCACTCTGGGGGCCAAGGTGAGAGAATTGCCTGAGACCACGGGTTCGAGACCAGCGTGAGCAACTTGGCGAGACCTCGTCTCTAAAAAAAATAAATAAAAATAAAAATAAACAAATGAATAAATACATAAATAAATAAGCCGGGCGTGGTGGTGCACGTCTGTGGTTCCAGCTACTTGGAGGACTGAGGCAGAAGGATTGCCTGAGCCCAGCAGGTCGAGGCTTGCAGTGGCTATGAGCGTGCCACTGCACTCCAGCCTGGGCAACAGAGTGAGACTCCGACTCAAAAATAAAATAAATAAAATAAATAAATAAAGTTCATAATTCTGCTTCTAGAAACTTACTCTAAGGAAATATTCAGAGATGTGTAGGGAAAATACCAGTATAAAAGTAGTATCTTACACATCAAGAAGATCCCAAAAAGGACTTAAAAAAAAAAGACAGACAACCCCAAGAAAGACATAAAAGAAACACAAATGACTTTTAAACACATAAGAAAAAAAATGGCCCAATCTCATTCATAAAGAGAGAGGCAAAGGAAAACCACACTGATGTAGCATTTTACTACTACTATGGGACTGGCACTTCTAACTTGTGGAGGGCAAACAGAACAGGCATTCCTGAGCTCTTCCTGTCAGAGAGGAAATGACTGAATCCTTCTGGGAGGCAACTGGGCAATTCCTATCAAATTTCAAATGCACACACATTTAGATGTAGCAATTACACTGCTAGAAATTTATCTCAGCCGGGCTTGGTGGCTCAGCCTGTAATCCTGCGCCTTTGGGAGGCTGAGGTGAGTGAATTGCCTGAGCCCGTGAGTTCGAGACCCGCCTGGGCAGTGAGAACTCATCTCTACAATAAATCAAAAAATCAGCCGGGCGTGGTAGCGCATGCCTGTAATTCCGGCTACTTGGAAGGCTGAGGCAGAAGGATCGCCGGAGCCCAGCAGGTCGAGGCTACGGTGGCCGGGAGTGGCCACTGCACTCCAGTCTGGGCGACAGAGTGAGGCTCCAACTCAAAAAAAAAAAGAAAAGAAATTTATCTCTGAGTTACACTTGTATACATGACATCTGTACAAGTTTATTCAGTGCAGCAAGCACCTAGGAGCATGTAAATCTCTAGCAAATCATGATAAATTTGTGCTATGGAATACTAATCACTATATCAAAGAATATGGAAAATCTTGTATGTCTTCATATAGAATCATCCCCAAGATATAGTATTATGTGATATGCTGTGCAGCTTATTTGCACAAAAGGGGGGGGGGGGAATCAATCATAAATGTGCTTGCCAACTCATAAAAATATCTCTGTAAAAATAAATGAAAAATTAATAGAGGCTGTAGGGGGTGGGGCAGGCAATGCTTTTTTGTACATTTTGAACTTTAAACTATCAGAGTGTTTTATTTTTTAATTTTTTTATAATTAAGAAAGAAAATAAGAAGTAAAATATCCGTGACTGGGGTTGGTGGAGGCTCACTGTGAAAGGTCCATGGCATTTTCAGTGGTGACAATGTTCCATACCTTGATTCTGACAAGGGCATAGGTGTGTGTGACTATGAAAACTGATTGCTTCGTACACTTCAAAAGGGGAATATTCACACATTACACCTCAAAAAGGTAAAAAAATAAACAGTGCATGGACTTAAGTATATCTAATCAATTATCTTTATGTTGTTATAATTTTTTAATTGGAAATAACTCTTCAGTGTTACAAGGTTGGTTGGAAGGTTGGCTAAATAAATTGTAGTAAGTGTTCTCATAGAAGGAAGTGTAAATATTGAGAAAACATTTCCATGGACACTTTTTAATGACTTGATAAAATGTTGTTTTGGAGGGTTTTTCTTGAGTTGGAGTCTCACTCTGTCTCCCAGGCTGGAATACAGTAGCACGCTCACGGCCACTGTAGCCTCGACCTGCTGGATTTAGATGATCCTTCCACCTCAGCCTTTCAAGTAGCCAGGACTACAGGTGCACACTACCATACCCAGGTATTTTTTGTGATTTATTGTAGAGACGAGGCCTCACCAAGTTGCCCAGGCCGGTCTCGAAACCCCAGGCTCAGGCAATCCTCTCGTCTCGGCCTCCCAAAGTGATGGGATGACAGGCTGAGCCACTGTGCCTGGCCAGACTTCATAAATTTTAAAGTGCTAATAATAGAGGGAAGGATCCGTTTTGGCGGGCAATTGGCATTGCGCAGAAGGCAGCAGCAGCGGTGACTTGTGGCGCAGCCTCACCATAGAGGAACAGAGCAGATGTTAGCATGAGTGATCACTTTTGAACCCGGGCACCCAGTAGCCTTAGTCCTTCAGGTGGGACAGTGTGCAACATGGGAAAGAAAACCAAGAGGATAGCTGACAGTTCTTCAGAGTATGAGGAGGAGGAACACAATACTTGGGAACCTGAGAAAAACTTGGATTGCCCTGAGCTAATTTCCGAGTTTATGAAAAAGTATAAGAAGATGAAGGAGAGTGAAAATAACAAACCCAGGGAGAAGTCAGAAAGTAACAAAAGGAAATTCAATTTCTCAAACACTGCTGATGATATCAAGTCCAAAAAAAAGAGAGAGCAGAGCAATGATATCGCTCGGGGCTTTGAGAGAGGACTGGAACCAGAAAAGATCACTGGGGCAACAGATTCCTGTGGTGATTTAATGTTCTTAAATGAAATGGAAAGACACAGATGAAGCAGACCTGGTTCTTGCAAAAGAAGCAAATGTGAAATGTCCGCAAATTGTGATAGCATTTTATGAAGAAAGACTGACGTGGCATGCATATCCTGAGGATGCGGAAAACAAAGAGAAAGAAACAGCAAAGAGCTAAAGGAGGGGGTGGTCTTTGTGATTTCTCTTTGTATATAATACATTTGCCTCCCTGCCTCCTCTCCCTTTTACCCACCCCTTTCTATCCTAAACACATCCATAAAAAATGTGCTTATCACTGTGCTCCACAGGAAAAAATAAATAAAAGTGCTAATAATAAATACATCCCAAAGAGAATAACCACTATTTATTGAACATCTGCCTTTACATGTATGATCTGTCTCCTTTGCATGTATGATCTAGTTCCTGTAAGCTTCAGCACAGTCCCTTGAGGCAGGCAGAATTATACTATTTTACTAACAAGGAAACAGATTCAGAGTGATTAGGGTCCACTAACTAGCTGTGTCTTTTGCCACCCCTCCTCATAACTATACTGATCTCATGTAAGGCTCACAATTGATCCTGAAAACTGTTATCCCCATTTTACAGATGAGGCTTAGAGAGGTCAGGTTAGAAAGCCTGTGCTGAGTTTCCAGGATGCACTTTAATTCTTAGGGTCCTGTAGGCCAGCACCAAAGGGCACGGTGTTCACCCCTGCCCCCTAGCGGCACTGTCTGCCTCCCTGAGCTCCCCAGGGGCAGGGACACATCCTCTTTGGAATCACCCACACCACTCTCCCACTCCCCAGATCTAGCAGAAGCTGGAACATCAGCTCTGCCCTCGCCTGCAGGCTTCTGCAGGCAGGCCCAGGAGCTGCAGGTACCTTTTTCTCCCGTGGGGCCAACTCTTCCAGGCCGTCCCGGGGCGCCTTTTTCTCCCTTCTCTCCCGTATCCCCTGTGGAAGAAGTCACATTGTTTAGCAGCCGGTTCTGCCCACCACAGCATTCCGGTGTGATATGTGGAGGAAGAACCATTAGAAGGGCACCCACCTTGTCCCTGCAGCCGGCTAGGCCCCTTTTCCTTCATTCTCCTGACCCTCCCCATCCAGGCCTATGCAGCCCAGCCCCCATCCCAGGTGCCCCAGTTCTGTTCTCTTCCCTTCCTGCTTTCTTCCGCATTTGTCCCTCTTGCCAATTACCTTCCAGTCTGTGCCCTGGCACATGGTACTCCCCCGAGACCCACTCTAGCTGCCAGCCCTCCACCTCACCCTGACACCAGTGACAAGAGAGAAAGCATCTTCAAGTGTCCCTATGAGAGGTGTCACTCTGGCCTCTCCCTGTGCTTTATCTGGTTCACACACAGGGGAGGATGAATCTGGGTGCTCACATTAGCATCAACCTGGTCTCCCTCAGCATGGGCTCCCCATATACTCCTGCTTGTGTCAGGGCCGCCCACACGGGGGCTGCCAGTAACCAGGTAGGCATACCCACCTGAGTCCAGAATCCAGCCACCAGGTGCAGGAGACAGGGATGTTGAATGACTGTTCAAGACACCCCCAAAGATGTGGTCCAGAGATGTGTGCGGTGGGGCAGGGGTCACAAGAGGGCCTGGGGGCACCAACACCTCCCCTTCAGTCTTCCCTCCCTCCTCCCTAATCATATCCAAACGATCTTCCTAAAACACAAATGGGATTGTTATTTTCCCTTCTCAAAAGAAATTTTTTTTTTTTTTTTTTT